TTTAGTGTTGTTGTTGTTGTTGTTGTTGTTGTTGTTGTTGTTGCTGTTGATGGTATTTAGTGCTGTTGTTGTTGTTGCTGTTGATGGTATTTAGTGCTGTTGTTGTTGTTGTTTTTGTTGTGGCTGTGGTTGTTGTTGTTGTTGCTGTTTCGTTAATATTGTTTTTTTTTGTGTTTGTGTTGTAGCCATCTTTTTAACTGTTGCTTTGGTTGATGGTGGTAATGTCGCCTTCGCCCGTCCTACAACAGTGCCTTGCATCCCTCGGAGTAAACAATCACGCTCTTGTGGTACGTCCCAAAGCATGACTCTCAGCAACACGAAAAAAAACGTCATCGTTCCCGGGAACGTTCTTTCTTCGGCAGGCGGCGGGTGCCGTGATGGCCGACATGCGGAAGCAGTACCCGGTCCTTGTGGAGGAGGCTTCTCTGGTGTCGCGTGCGATGATCAAGGTACGTACGTATCTCGTGTCTCACGGCTGGAACGAAAAGACACAAGGCGTCGATGTGACATGGACATGTTACATGGACACGCTCGAGCGGGGTGCCCTGCTGCCTTATCAGGAGTGTCAAGCCATGCCCCTCTTTGCCTTTAATGCTACTGGTACTTAGCGGCCCTCTGCTTTTTTGTGATCAACATTTAAATTATATGGAATTTTGTGTGCCATTTTTTGTTTTTTCTCCCATGTCGATGGGTGTGGTTCGCTGTTGCTCCCCGTGGTTGGCGCGTGGCCAGGTGGCCATGACCTGGCCCGAGGTGTGGCATGAGGGTCTGGAAGAAGCGTCAAGAATGTACTTCGGGGATGGAAACGTCGAAGGAATGCTCCGACGCCTTCAGGTAAAGAGAGGCACAGGGAAGGGAGACAGAGAGACAGAGACAGACAGAGACAGACAAAGACGGAGAAAGACAGAGATAGACAGAGATATTAGAGAGAGAGAGAGAGAGAGAGAGAGAGAGAGAGAGAGAGAGAGAGAGAGAGAGAGAGAGAGAGAGAGAGAGAGAGAGAGAGAGAGAGAGAGAGAGAGAGAGAGAGAGAGAGAGAGACAGAGAAAAAGGCGACCGACGTAAACTCAATCCTTTCATGAACGGCGTACAGCACAGCACAGTACAGTACAGTACAGTACCCCTTCCCCTCCCTCCTGACTTTACTTGACCGTCAACAACACAAGAAGACGTCTACAGCAGCTTTCGAATCGAACCACTGCTGTTTTACGGCGTACACAATGGCATGAGTACCCCCCCCCCCCCCTCAAGTTTCTCTCAATGTT